GGAGAATCTTGTGCAGTAGATTCATAAGCAGATTCATAAGGTCTGTAATCAGGGCCCTTGCTTTTGATTCCCGGAGAAGCCCAAAAATCAGTCCTATAACGCTCTGCCATTAAGAAATCAGATTCGATCAGGGGCTCCTGTGAATCAGATAGACAAGGACTGTCCCGATGGTCAGAGTCCGAGCCTTTAGTTTCACACGTAGAACTGCGGTCACGATTCCTAGAAAGCTTTCCCGTCGTAAAAGCAATTTCGCTTGCGGTATCGGTGAAGCCTTGGGGGTCCTCTGGTGCGAAGATGTTGACTTCATTGTACTCATGAGGCTTGACGATCTTTCGGGCCGCGGCCGGGGCTGTCTCGAAGGATTCGGTCTCGGGGTAGAGTGCTCGATGGCTAGTAACCAATGGCGGAAACTGTCCATAAGATCCCGGATATGCAGAGTCAGGGCCTCGGACAAGAGATATGTCACCACCAGAAGCCGGAGTATTAGCAGCCTTTCCCCAAGAATCCTCGAAACCTCCCCAGCTTTTCTCCTTAGAGCTGAAATCCGAAGGCCCAGCGGGCGTGTCAGCAGTACAGCTTTCGGTGAGGCGTTGAGACTGGTGGGTTTCCGCAAGCTTTAGCTGTTCCTCGGTCCGAGGGTACGTAGGACTGGATGGTTGGAAGCCAGAAGCTTTAGTCTTTTGCTGGGCTGGCCGAGTAGCCTCCTTTGCCGAGTGCATACCAGAAGCTGGTGATGTTAGCGATGCCACAAACTCAGGCAGAGACAGCGTCGTTGTGATATGTTCAATAATCGCGTTCAACGAAGCATTGGAGTCGAGCCCCAAAGAGCAGGCCTCGGATGGTGCGGGAGAAGCAGATTTTACTGGGGCTCCACCGTCACTTTTGTCGTCACTCTCGTCGTCGCTCTCGTCGTCGCTCTCGCCGTCAATTTCGTGGTCATCCCCGTTGTCAACCCCGTTCTCACTCTCGTGGTCCTCTGGAAACGGTACATCGCCACCTGTAGTTATGAGTCTCAATTCCATGTCTTTGCTCGCTGGATGGACTTTACGTACCGATCATGGACCAGAAAATCACCTCCGCCTCTCTCAGCTCGTTGTCAACGTCTACCATAGCACATGACTTTTTGGCGAGAGCCTGTACAGCTTTGTATTCGGCGCTCCCCCACAAGATCGATCGATAAACCTGTGACTGTTTCATCAATAACTTCTCAATCTCGACCGCGCGAGAGCGGTATCGTGGACGAGAAAGGCCTGGTGGATGAGACACCGACTGCGCCTTTGATTTGCATGCTTCTTGCGGGAGCGTCTGTGCCGCCTGAGCATCCTGAAGACCTCCTTCTCTCTGATACTTCTCTATCTGCGCTGTAGTCACGATGTCCTCCATCTTGTCTGCTTTAAGTTTTCGTGTGTGTTGTTTGGATATCGGATGAGGCTGGGGAGGAGACCGTCGGGTTGAAATAGGGCGAGAAAGCGGCCGCTGATGCCTTACCACAAGTCGTCGATATTCCACAAACCAAATATTGACACTGACTCGGCTAAATCCCGCCTTCACTCCGATTGGTTGTACCAAAGGATGAACTAGAGTTGGTTTCCTCCCTCGATCTCTGGTATTCTAGAGGCTTGAGCCTTCTATCAACTATTTGGTCTCCCTCTTGCTTTCAGTATGCCGCGGATGATTCGATGTCCCGAGGAATTGGGCATTCAGTCAGGTGCTAACGCGCCGATTGATATTCCAGACCTTTCATAATTCATTCAGGAAGGAACTTTCCAACTTGTAAGCTCGAACCGATAACTGCGATAGAGAATCCCGAATCTATCCACCATTGAATCAAGCTCAATCAATCTCTATCCCAAAAGATCTCTTCCAAAAGAAAGCTGGGAGTTGTCAATATCCAACTGACTTGATCACCTGACTGCAGGCACGTGGGACATAGCTCGGCTCAGGGAAGTCTTGGTAACTCAATTTTGACTCCATCTACTCCGAGATCCCAATTCATAAGCCTTCATCGAGTCACCACCCGGAAATAACTCAGTCCTGCCAGACCTAGGTACTCCGTTGAGAACGGCGTCAGAAAAAATCTTCTGATACGGATGGCTCGTCAAATGGCCTAGATAGATAGAGTCTATCAGGCGCCGACGGCTTCCCCTTCTGCAGCTCTCGACCGCCGCTGCTTGTTACGAGCAGAATGATTGACTCAATCAACAATAGCATCCGAAGGTACTGCAGCAGCTGTTGTCGATCCGGAAACTGTCTTCGAGAATCTGAACGAAAGAAGGAGATAGGCGGAAAGAAATTTCTTGGGAGCGAGGCCGCCACTCAGCAAGTAAGTAAACAAGCTCTGCATCTTGACCGCCGTACGGATTGATCTCGTCCAGATATACGTATATATAATCTTCAGAGCCACATCTCGGAACTTTCTCGACGCCCCATATGAAATCCCGAACTTCAGGGCAAGGAGTTATGCTTGTGCGAACTCTGCAATGAGGTCGACTTAACTTTAAATCAGTGGATGAATCCCTGAATCCTGGGTAAGTAATCAAGGTCCCCACAACGTTTTAATAGTACGTTCAACACTTGGCTGCTACATGGGCAAAGCACTTGCTTGCAAACATGAGTCTCGGAGAAATCATCTCGCGGTCCACAAACGACGACGTACAAGCTCTCGTTGCAGCAGGCATGTTCATGTGCGTCGTGGCTTGGATCAATACGACGACGCCCCAGCTTTCCTTACCTCTCCTGCCAGCGAAAAAGGCCCTGTGCACAGGCAACTGCCACTTCGAAACGACATCAACGGTGCCTCCCGGCAAGTGGTGGGATTATCCTACAATTATTGCATTATGCCTCAAGACACGCGCAATATCAACTCCCATTATCCTCAATCGATGGTAGAATCCCTGGGCTCCTTGAAATCAGCAAAAAAACCAGTCGCCATCATTATCGCACTTCCTGGGTGTCTTAGCCGAGTCTCGCTGCTTTGCTGGGTCCTCTTCACTGTCGATCTTTGGTTCCACCACAACGTTGTTACTTTGGCTGTTTGCATGCTTGTTTTATTGTGCTGACCACCGCACTTTCTTCGCTCACAAGTCTTCTTCCGAGTCCTCGATCCCAGGTCGCTTGCTACTATTCTGATCAGTCGCAGCACCATAGTTACCTGTAGGGCACGCCGAAGTCAGCAGCTGGCACATCGACAGAAAATGAAAAGAAACAATATTTAACATGTTCTCGAAAAAAACTGGACACTTCAAGTCCAGTGAAACGAAAAAAAAAAAAAAAAAAAAAAAAAAAAAAACTTAACGGGCAGCCTGGTCGTTACCTCTTGAGGTGTTGAAATGGTCTGCGGCTTTGCATAACTGAGGCCACTGAAGACGAGTGCGATCAATATAGGCCTGGGAAGGTTCTAGCAGAACCTCTTGGAAACCATCCAGACTGTCTTGCTTGTGGAACTCCTCGAGGCCGCGGTAGACCATTCCCTTCTCGCGTTGGGCGTCGGGGTCCTTGCTATCCACACCTGCTATGAACTCTGCCCAGACTGCCATCAAATGAAAGCGCGTATGCCATACTTATATTTTTGAACTAGGAGAAAACAAGCGAGTGAAAGAGTCAGTAGTGGCCTATTAAGAAGATTTTGTGTGTTCAGGACTATAGGGACAATGAGATCTAATGTTACTTACATTTAACAATTTGTTTGTTGCATATATCCCCTTTCCTCTGCGAATCTCCAAAGACTTTGCGAGGATAGCCTGCTTCGCTTTGGGATTAGTAAAAGCGAATGCCCCCCGAGGCAGTCCAGTGTTGGGGTCCCAGCCATCCTGAGGATGCTTGCCGCCTATCATCCAAGGAAACTTAGGCGGCACTGCGCCTATGTGAATGAAAGCAGCCAATTCTGTGTCTCTGGTGATGATGTACTTGATGGCCTTTAGGAAATATCGGTCCAAGTTCCCTGAGGATGCGTTGCTATCATGCTTATGGAACCTCGCCAGTACTTCTTCGACGACCCTCATCTCTCGCTGCCCATCTTCGTCTGTTGGCACCACACCTTTCTTAAGGCCGACCCACACAGCTGTAATCCCATGTGGGTCTTTCGGAGCAGGGCTGAACAAGTTTAACTTGACCTACTTGAATTGCTGATTAGTAAGGGCGAAGTTGAGAAGTTCATGCAGACAAGCGTTCGAGACAAACTTCGATCCTACTGGGATCCCGCCCTCGGGGCTCGATCTCTTGTGATGGATTATTTTCTTGCGAATAGAGAAGCGCCGATTTAGATATAATATCCTCTTCTTGGGCAATGCGGAGACGGCGCTGTCTCCTCCTAAAAATGGACTTGATTCGGCGTGTGGTGGGTTCGATCGGAGTCAGAACGGTATTATGGACCTTGTCTCGAGGCGGCGTTATTGGGACTTGGGATATAAAAGACGGCAGCGATTCAGAACCGATTGAAGTATGCGAATCCGATGCAATTGGTATATGCGGACACCACGACCCTTTGACAGGTGCCAGTGGTGAATTTGAGATCTGCTGTGGTTTTAGGCGTTGCGGAGTCTTCTTGTGCTCCAAGGAAGTGCCGAATACTTCTTAAGGTCTCTTTACAGAAGCCAAAGGTAAGTCGGAAGTGGTTAGTGGTATCTTGAGCAATGGTGCGAAAAGCAGTAGGAGGGCTCTTCCCTACTGGATGGAGGAAGGCTGTGATGGAACTCGATTCCTCAATGGTTATCGAAGGACCATTATGTTTTTCTGGGGGATGACTTCCTTCTCAGTCGATCCAGCCAGATCCTCTAGAACTTCGAGCAGATCGTTCACTCTCTGCGGGGTTCCCAGGCTATCGCAAGTCTCGTGGATGCTATTGATCTGGAGAAGAACTGGTTCAATCTCGCCTTCATATCTGATGCTTGGGGTGCGGAGTTGTTATGCCTTCTGATGTTGAACTCGTGTGAGGCTACTTGATGATGCATGCTCTCGAGCATCTGCATCGCTCGTAGTGGTAGGCAAACCTGACGCAGGTAATTGACTCTGCGATAGAGCCGGTTTATGCGCGCCTGGACCTCGGAATGGATGGTGGGGGTTGGCATCGCGGTGTATTGTTGTTTATGTGTTTAGGAAATACGGTGGAAGGTCGACGCGTATTTAAAAGTTGCAGGAGCGTCGATTTTCAGCTTCGACTTTTAGCGTCGAGCTAGTGCCATGGAAGACGTAGCGCCGACGCTCCGAGTCCAATTCACTGTATTGCCGCTGGCTGTTAAAAGAATACTTATGCTCCGACTCGGCCGACGTCATTTCTTGAACTGATACAATTGAATTGAAGATGAGACATGTAAATCTAGTCTTTCTTTGTAGGCTTAGATCAATTCGTTTGGAGCAGTTATAATATTGTATATTTACTTTTCTTTCGCTTGAATTTATATATATCAAATATGCATAAAGAGCTGCAGATACAAAACAATACGATTTTTGAACTCAATGCTTAATCTTTTTCCTAATTAATGAATGGAATAAAGGCGTTCTATAGCTTACAAGGTATCTACCTTAAAGGCAGGTAGGGGGTCATTTGAGCGGTCCTCTGACCTTCTTTTATAAAAGACGGTTATTAGACCGCTTAAATTCAGTACTAAGCTCTTTTCAGTAATAGTTTGCCGAGAAGACCGTCCCATTGAAAGAGACCGTTTTGTGGCCGTCCCATGGCCGTCCCCGTCTATATTTTTAAAACAGGCTTCTTAATACGCTCGTTTTAAAAAATTGAAATAGTTCGATATTTATTTTAAAAAAGGTATAGTTGTAAATAAAAATTACTTCTTAAATGGAATCGTTTTAGTAATAATTTAATAAATTCGATGCCAAGATATTTCTCGGTATCGCTGCCACGGCTTATATATCAACGCTTTAAATTTTTAATAATCGGAATCGATCGATTCAGTAAAAGTTCACCCGCGGTAATGCGCCCTTATAGCACCTGAGAGGAGGGGCGGGAGGGGTTGGTAATGAAGGGGTAGTATACCCAGTAGAGGGTAGACTGCTAAGTAATTGAAAAAAAAAAAATTATTTGCTTATTAATCGTCGGCTCGCTTAGGTGGGCCTCCTTTCAGCCTTTCAGTCTTAGTCGGTATAAGCGATTGCGGATCGGAAGCGAGTGCGGATTTTTTTTTTTATTATTAGTTTTCGTATATAAAATACAATTTATAACACTACTTTTTAATTTACAACCGCATAACTAATTCAATTGTATTTTACAATTAATCATAGGTCGAAAACGCACTCGTTCGAAGAAGCCTTTAAGGATTTTTTAATATAAAAGCCACGCTTAATTAGGTAGTCTTAATGCAATTAAAGATCTTGCGACGCGTTTTCGACGCGCTATAACATTTTTGTTCGAATACCTTTACGAGACTTAAAAAACTGCCGCGCGTATTTACGATCTTAATAAGCGCACGTTAAATAATTACTTTAAGCGATCGAAAAATCGCAAGCACGGCGGTTAAAACAAGATCTTGTAAAGCTAGCATATTAACGCGTTACGCTAATTTATTTTTCAATTTTTTATTAATTAGCTTACTTTTACATCGCAATTGATTTATAACGTTATATTCGCTTTACGCAAAATATACGACGAATATGCGAAGCCGCAAAGCTGGAATTAGTTTATAAGGTGGTGGAAAACGAATAGCTTATATAAAATCAAGACTAAACCTTTTGCTTAAGTACGAATCGTAGCGTAAGATACGCAAGAAGTACATAAGTAATTTAAGAGCTATCGGCGCACTTTAAAAAGGATGAATATTCGATTTAAAGATATTATTAATTTCGACGAGATTAGGTTTCGTATTAGCTGTTCGCGAAGAACGGAAATATTAGTCTTTAAAGCTATTCGAGAAGTATATTATATCGTATTGTTTTACTTAAATTTTATATATTAATTTTTATTTATAATTTTATAATGTTAGCCCGGAAAATCGAAGATTTATAACAATAATCGAAATAATTAATGCGATTAATTAAAAACCTATTCCTCCGATGATTCTTATATAAAGCAAACGATTTATGTAATAATAGTTCGTTCCGAAACTTCTTGCAAGCATACTTATTAAAGAAGCTAAAAATGGATTTACGAATAATAAAATCGCATTATTATACTTCGAGTATTATATTAAAAACGCAAATTATAGATCGAATAAACCTTGGAAGCTTATATTAATGGATAATCACGCTAGCTACCGGACTCCGGAATTCATTAATTTAGTTAATAAAAATTACATTTTATCGTACTTATTGATTCTTTACCTTACTTATTATATGCAATCTTTTGATATAAAGATTTTTCATTTTTATAAGTATTACTACGACTTAGCGATTAAAGCTACGCTTACATAGCTCGATATCGAGTATTCGATCAATTTTTTCTTAAACGATCTCGATTATATTCGCAACTAAACACTTAATCGATATAATATTAAAAAAGCTTAAAAGAAGTTTAAAATGTACTTATCGAATGCAACGCAATATTTAAAAAACTTTAAAACCTTTACGCTTTTTAAATACGAAAAAAAGCTCGAGCTAAAGCTTTTTCGTACTTTTTAAAAACTAGCGTATATCGAGATTAGCTCGTGGAAGTAGCAAGATAAATACAACGAGTTATTAAGTAGTCTTTTTCAATAAGATTTCAAATCATATATAAAAGGTACTCGAGAAGTTGCAATAAAAGCTACTTTATAAAAATAAGAGTTAGCTATTCTCGCTTAATAACGCAAAGATTAGCTAGAAAGCAAAAAAATAAGTCGCAAATGATTTTATTATATCGAAAGCTTAATATCTTAAATCGATAATAAGCTTGCTGCTTAATAGCAAGCTAAAAAAGATCTCGAATCTGCTATAAAACAATAACGAATCGTCGATAAGCTTTAAAGAGAAGAAAGAGATGCTAAGTATTATAAAAAAGTCGATTTACGCAAAGTTAAGCGCGAGCGTAAAAGGATTATACGAGAACGCTTTGCTGCAAGTCTAATTATTAAAAACGACGATATAATACTTATTCCAATTCTCGATTCGAAAGAGATTTAATAGATGCAATAACCTCTTAAGCGTTAAATTTTACAGCTTCGTAAAAAAAGTATTTCTCGACCAACTTTTTCTTAACTCGGACTTTCTTTCGATAACGACGATTTAATAATTACAATCGATACTATTAAAAACCCTTTTTTAAAGCAAAATGTTATTCCTTTCCTTAGTATTAATATCGATAGCGATGGTTTTAATTTTAATAATAATAGAGATTCAAACGATTCGTTGCGTAAAGTAAAAGACGAGTCAGAATCTAATGAAAATGACGATCGATAGTTAGATATTTTATTAGATGATACGATTTTAAATATTTCGAAAAAAGATATAATAATAGATTAATTATTTATATAAATATTTTTAAGTTGTAATAGTATTTGCTATAATAAACAAAAATTTCTAATATATTTTCGAAAAATCCGCACTCGCTTCTAATCCGCAGTCGCTTATACCGACTAAGACTGAAAGGCTGAAAGGAGGCCCACCTAAGCGAGCCGACGATTAATCAACGTTTTCCGGGACGGTTTCAAGTTCGGGGACGGCCTTGGGACGGCCTTGGGACGGCCACAAGACGGTCTTAAAACGGTCTTTTTATAAAAAGACCGACTTTTATAAATGATTATTTAATCGATTAAAACCGTCTTATTTTAGTAATAATCTTTTTACGAAAAGACGAGCTCTTATAAAAAACGATTCAATCGATTGAAATAGTTTTATTTTAGCTACGATTTAAATAATTTAAATCGTTTGTTTTCAGATTCTATTCAATAAGTATCGGCCTAAGGTGATCCACTAGCTATGCCAACCTCTTGGAATCGTCTCTTAAAGAGACTGTCATCGGATTGTCAGCTGACGGTTTAAATGACCCCCTACCTGCCTTTAAGGTACCGTCCGCTATGCTCGCAGCTTTCATTTCTAACAAATCCCTCCGCGCCTTTAGCCCAGTCACCATAGGCTTCACCTCCCTTCTATTCACTAGCGGGATCCACGAGTCTAGAATGCGGTCGTGTAGCCTTCCCTTAAAAGACATATACAGCTCGATCACAAGACTGGAAACGATTGAAAGATTCGTGTTAGACACACAAGTCTTGTCAGATCAGATAAACAAACAATGCCGGCCGCTTGCTATCTAGGCATATATATCTGAAACGTGCGTTCAAGTTCACGGAACACTAGTTCTGGCATTGATAATTAACAGGTTGGTGTCTATGGTCTGGTCTTGGAAGAATGTCGCCAACTTGGAGAGTGGGTCGGGCCCCTTGGTCACGTGGACCTTGGCTCTTTTAGGCCAGGGTGAATTTCACAAAGAGTTTTGGGGGATTTGTTGCTAAGTAGAGCTTCAATATAAAATTTGAGAGATTACTAGTTAGTTTGTGAATACGGGGCTTGGGTATTGTGGTTTTGAAAAACCATTCACTTTTCTTGAATTTTTTGAACAAAGAGAGATTGCCTGTGGTTTCACGGCTCTCAGAGATGGATTATGATTCAATAAGAAACGAAGGACCAAAGATTCCAGTATAATTTGAAAGCGGAGTTTGGCAAATAGAATGCTTGCTCATTGACAAAGGTCGATCGTGAGCCGCACAAAGCCTATGAGGCATTATATATGATTTGAATCCAGGATTCCGGATTTACAGGCCCGAATATAAAATCTTCTCATAACGTCTGTGGGCGGCAATATCAATAAGAGAAAAAACTCAATTTGCAGATGCTTGCTTCCTATTAGCTCGTCGATCTGGATTTCCAACCACCTTACGTTCCCCGAAACCCTGCCACCACTCAACGGTTGATACAGGCGCTTGAGAACTCCAATTCACCCTGGGTTGCCGCTGAATGTTGTCCTTTGGGCCTTCAGGTGAATTAATTAATAAGTTCAAATCCTTGCTACGGAGAAATCGGGGGGGTCTTAACAATTAGCTGAAAGAAGATACGGTGTTGACGAGTACATTCTAGGGTGATGTTTCCGTTTTGAATAATGCCAAGCTTACAAAAAGGCGACATATGTTGTGGTTTATTCTATAAACAAAGATGCAGGATTAGCAATCCGTCTAAAAATAATTTCTAGAGCCTCGCCCAGAGATTAGAGCTTGCATAGAGTGTTATATCTAATACGTTTGTCTAACAACTTCAAATTCAGGAATGGGATATCATCTAGAAGTAGCGAAGCAGCGCGAATCTCCTGCACTTGTTCAATTTCTTGATCACCATCCTGCTTCAGCCTCTCACTCCCAAAGATCTACAAGCCATTTTTGTGACCGTTATATTTCGTCGAAGCTTTCTCATGCCACAACAGAAATTCCCAGAGTCCCAACCGGTGAGTCGATTGCTAAGTCCTTGGCCCTTGAAGTTTTCAGTTCGTCAACCATTTGATGACCAGACTGACGGTCACTGTATGTCTTATATCAGAAACTAGGGTTCTCTTCGTCGCCGCTGACAACTCGGATATCTCTCGTGCCAAGCAAAGTGGCATATTGGTTATGGGGTCGTCGGTTATGGAATGGAATTGAAGACGCTGGGACTAAGCGGTGAGTCCGTAGGGCTTTGGGTGGAAAATAGGAAGCCATCGCTTTACAGTATATGCAGAAGCTCTATGTCACTGTCTGATAATCTGAGTTTGGCTTTCGTGGTCTCGGGGTGGCAATGAGGACTCTAGCATTGTTTTCCAGGCTTGGCTGCGCTAGCTGTGAGTGAGTGGGCTTTTGGGCTGGTCGCTGGTCACGGGAGCGAGGGTGGCTGTTTCGCTAGAAAGTCTCAAACATGGTTTCGGTTTCTTTATATGCAATTCTTAAACCCAGAATGCAGTTTCAGCTATGAATCACGGGCGGTATTGTCTGTGCAGACGGCTGGCTACGCAAGCCCAGCATATAGGAAATGTCGAAGTGAGAAGGAATACTGACCGGTGACAGCGAATACACGACTAACCAAACAGGTAAAGCACCGAATTTAGTCAAGGAAGCAGCTGAAGTTGAAAAGAAAAGGCATTATATTGATACCGCGAACCAGATATATCTACAACAAGAATAAGGCAGCCGTCAGTGCCAGAACGACGGCAAAATATGCCTCCATACCATCCCGTCCCGCACCTCTCACTCCTTGCGCTCCGCTTGTCCCATTGACCGTTGTCCCGGTTGTGCCGCCTGTGCTGGTAGTAGGAACCCCATTTGATGTCGCCCCTCCGCTGGGCATGGCGGCGCCAGGTAATTGAGGCGTCCCGGTTACTTTCGTAATGTTTGCCGCCTGGAGAGTAGCCGAGTTGGCAGGAGCAGCAGCAACAGGGGCCGGCTTTCCATTCGTGCTCGTTGTGGTGTTGACAGATGCAGTGTTGCCACTTTCTGGAGCGGCGCCATCTGTTACGTTCATCACGTTGAAGGAGTTGCCGGCAACGACCTTGACACCCGCTGCGTTAACTACCTTTACGGCGTCGAAGTTCGTTCTCGTCGCTCCAGCTTGTGTGAGTGATGCCAGGCCTGTCGGGTTGTTGGTCGTATCGAGAAGCAGCTGGGTGTATCTGTGGGTGTTTGGTGCCTTGTTTGGGGGCGAAGGGCCGAAGTATGGTGCAATGGCCGCGGTGTTGTCGACGCTGCTCTGGAGCACGTATACCATCATGTCTCCGATCATGGTACTCGTGTTCGCGGATGTCATATCTTGCTGCATCCAGTGGAGGAGTTCGCCGGTTGGACCACCAGCTTGCTGGGGCGGAATATCAGGGTCGACCATCATGATCGCATAAGTTCCTGTCAACGGCTGCATCGTGGCAATCGTCGGCTGCATCGCCGTCTCTGTCCCCAGATCAGATTCGTCGATCGAAGAGTGAAAATACGACTACGTACCTGCTTTGGTCAACAGCTTGCCATTGACAGCGAGCGTGTTTCCGAACGCGACAACAAGATCCGTAGTCGAAGCCGGCTGGAATCCGGGGGGGGTGACAGCTGTTGCGGCGCCAGCGAGCGCAACAGCAATGAGAATTTGGGACAACATTGCGAATGAATCGAAATGAAATCTAAGAATGATGACGAAAATTACGGGACTCGGGACTCGGAAAGAAAGAGAAAAAAAACTTATAGAATGTGGGAAAAGCTTTCATATGCACAGAGGGAGGAGCATCGAAACGAGTGATAGCGAGGAATTTCCAAACGCGCTAATATGAGACGGTGACTAGTCTGATACAATGCAAGTGCAGCACCTCCATTCCAAAACGTTACTCGAAGTGGCAATGTTCGGCGAATTGCCGATCTGAAAGACAGGAGGCTTCATGTTGGTTTGACAGGCGCACGGTCTATATAATTATCACTTGCTCGGATCGAAGAGGGTTTGACTGGCGGCCTGGGGATCACCAGCTCAAGCTTCCAGCTTTTGGCATGGAGCCTCTTCCAAGACATCGCAATGCGCTACCAGAGAGAGGAAAATCAAGTGAGACCAAGCTCCTAAGAAGAAATCGCAAAGTTTGGAAGTTACGCTATGCTTTTTATCTCATTTTTCTGGCTTGATACCGCGTAGGAAAAAAAAAAAAAAATCTCGTGCGACAGTTGCGGTTTTAGATGCAGAGGACATCAGATCAGCGGTAGGTATTGACGGGAATACACCCAAGATACCGCCCAGATAATTTCATTCTTAAGCTTTGACATCTGGCAGCATTGATGCGAAGAAGGAAAAAATCTCATGGATGGAAGCTCGGTGCCTGAGAATTACAGATCAGTTGCCGAGATGCGCCAGCTCGAGCGTGCCGAGGTGGAACTAGAATTCGACAGGAAAAACACATGACCTCGATAGGTGAACGAAACTCTAGAAGTGACGAGTTGCCACGGTCAAATTAAATGTAAATGAATATTTGATAATGTTACGAAAGGATGGGACCCAGGGAATGGGGGGCTACTGATCTGCAGTCTTCCTTCGTCAATACCGGAACACCGGTAGACGAAAACAAAAACCATGCCAAAAATATCAGAAGAAAAAAAAGAAAAAATTTGAACACTGTTTATATCGGTCCTAGACTAAATTTGAAGCACAAAATTCCAGCATTGCTTTCACTCTGTCAAGTGGTGGAAGTCTAAAGCGTTCTAGCCGTTCGTCGCCAAGAATTGGGTCTCGGCCCTTCAAGTCCAAAACTTCACAGTATCGCTATCACATGGCGCATACTGTAATTTAGTTAACGGACAGAAAATGGTTCCATCCGATCTCTATACCATATGCATCATCTTCGAAACGTAAAGTGTCAAGCACAGACAACCACTTCCATTCGGATTCCTATAGGGATTACATCATAATAAGAGCTGTCTCCAGTACCAAGACATGAATGAAGATCCTGAAAGTCTTTGTCTTCGTCCTCGGCATATTCGAACTGCTCCTCCGAATCCCTAAACCGTTTATCTACATATATAAGCCGTGCCTCCACCACCCGTAGGATTTCTGCGCATATCTCTGCACTCATGCCCGCTAAAGTAGTAATTATCTCGAGCTCTCTCGATTCCGATAAGTGTGCAGGTGTAAGCTCAAAGGCCCAGGCAGAGGCAGTACTAGCACAGACCGATGGTTCGGCTTCAGCTTCAGCCATGACAGCGGATCAGTAACGAAGAAAACAGACCATGAATAGCTAGTTGATATCGCGTGACTGCACTACACAATCCTCTAATATAGAAAAAATCGAACCTCGCTTGTCAGCCTAGCTTCGCGACAAAACATTTTAGCTAGATCATGTAGCCAAGCTCAACATCGACTTTCGCCCTCATTAGGCACGTAAGTTTGGCTGAGTTGGCAAACATCTGAATAACTGACAAACAGATAGCACGCATGGCTATAATACGCAAAAATCCCCAACATGTAAGGAATCCTTGATAGGAAATTAAAGACTCTCAAATTCGACTTCGGAATAACGTATTCAATCAAGTACGTTTATAATCCAAGACTTTCGTGTTTCTGGCTGAGTTTTGCGATTCTTTTCTTTCTTTCATCTTTCTTCAAAAACAAAAAACATTTGATCCGGTAATTGTAGGAGAGGGCTCTAAAACTTGCGAGATCAGCTCCACTATTAGATGAAATGGAAGGTCGAAATAAGCTCCAGTAACGGATGCTTGATTTCTTAAGTCACGTGCGCTCCACCTGCCAGCCCCTTCTTTTTCGCGACCCAGCCTCTCCAACCACCCCTCCTCCTGCACCCCGCCAACCCCATCATCTGCGCTCCATGGTGCTTCCTTGGTTTACTATCAATAAATATATTACTTACAATGAGCAATGTATCTGTTTCCTGTCCTCACGTAACCTTCGACATCACTTGAAAGAAGACGATCCCGTCTTTTCCCGATCAAAATAACACAATACACCACGCATATCTATTCCTATTGACCATATTGCTGCCTATTAAGCCCTCGACGAGATCTATACCCGATCTGATTGATTCTCGAGCACAATGGCTACTATCAAAGCGGCCGAAGCAGCAGCAGACATAACGACGACACCAGCTTCGACCTCGGAAGAGCCTCCTCCACCCTACATCGCCTCCACCCTCCCCCCCAACCCAGGCTTCTGCGAACTCGCCTTCCGCGAGCGACACGATAACAAGATCGCCGGCGGCGGCATGCGCGCGGCGCAGTACTTTGCGCCTTGCAAGGCGTGTGCGTTCCAATGCGGCGACGAGATCCCCGCGGTGTATAAGCAGGGGTGGCTGGATTGGGTTGATCCCAGCGTGAACTTTAGGTGGGAGTCGCATGTTGCTGTTGGTGCTGCCAGTGAGCTAAAGAAGGACCACGGGAATGAGGATGGGAGTGAGACGCCGGAGATGTTGGGATGTTGGATTTGCTGGGAGTACGAACACGTGTGGAAGGAGCCTATGGGGGTGGAGGAGTGGTATAAGCATATGCGCAGGCATTTCTTTGTCGAGGGCTATAGGATCTGTAAGGGGAAGACGGGAGCGATGCAGCGACGGAGGAATTGCGAGGTAGCAGGGCACTGCCCAAAGATACACTCATAGCTAGCTCTGAGATGGAGCTGGAGCTGGAGGTACATAAAGGCGCCGAATAGTAGCGTTGCTAATAACATACGGCTTTATGCTTTCCCCCGTCCTTACTGCGTGCACTTTGACAATTATAATTATTTCTGGCGTCACTTGTTTTCTTCCTACAGAGCACTCCATCAACCACCCAATTCCCAGCCTTTATTCCACTTCCTACGCATGGCTTACACCCAAGCCCTCATTTCTCCTGCCCGCAAGCAACCACCAACTGGTATATCTCTCCCGAAACAGTATCTTAAAAATCCAATTCTTGCAAGAGAAGCCTATCCTCCAAATATCAGTATAAACTATTTCCCTCGCGAGATACCTATTGCAAGCCAACCTTACCTCACCCTACCTCATTCACCTGAACATCAGCCCATCCATCCATCCACCAATCCATCCACCCAGAGACATCCGGCACAGGAACGAATCTACCGGTACCCTTCTCGTAGCCGAGGGCGTGGGCTCGTCAAGTGATTGCGAGAGCTAATCTTATCTTATCTTATCTTATCTATTGTTCGCAGACAGAATAAAACATGCTTTCTACTTCGTATGCTTGTGGTACCGTACTTATATATATATATTACTTTATGGGCGGAGGCTAACCTACCTAACCCAACCTGGGCCTGAACCGAGGATTAGTGTTAGTAGACAAGTGGCTGGCGAGGGCGAGGTTGTGTATCCCCGCTTATAGTTAGTTACCGTATCTAGCGTTATTGATAGTTGAATATCTTCTTCTTTCTCTTTCTTTTTACTAGGCAGATAGATGTGTTACAGTTATGATTTCTATCTCGGAAAAAGGACTGAGAGGGTTCGATTCCGCAGCTATTTGTTTATGCATGCGTTCTATGCGTCGGCCCGCCGCTAGTGAGATGATTTAGAAAAAAGTGTGCAATGATCTTCATTTGACCCCCCCCTATTCCTGAAGTGAACAAATGCATTTTCTTAGTATCTAAATTTTCAAGCTTGCATACAGGAAGCGGCAAAGCAGATATGGATTGCTGTTCTAGCTATTGTCCACCGTTGCAGACTGGATTCTCGGAATGGTGGGTATAAGCTGGCCGGACAGTGTCCTCGTATTGAGTGCGGACCCAGGCAACCAGGAATAGTTTTAGGTTTGCGATGCGGGTATGGACGATAGCTTTCAATAGCCAAGCCGAGAGCTGCGATGCTGACAAGCAAGCGGTAGATGTCGAATGACAACGTTCCTGCATGAGCGATTGAGGTAAGAGATTCGGGCCCCGGCATGTTGGACGCGGAGGGAGCATTTTTGTTCCTTCACTTCGGGTATCAAGCTCGGGTCTGATTCTCCTAGGCGAGGAATTGCTTCTGGTCGGGAGGGGCTCAAGCGGTGACCCGGTGCAAGTTTTGCGGAGTCTCATATTATATACGCCTAAGTCCGGAGTAGGAAGCGAGTGTTTGCAGTGATCCGGTTGTCTCGAAAGACGGATGGATGGAACTGCCCTTTTGGCTGACTGCTCGACTGGGGAAAGGGACGATGCATTTTCCAATAAGTTGAAATGGCGATATTTGGAAGCTAGTTTCTGATATTGCGCCCGATCGAGATGCCGCTGCAGGTAATGGATTCGGACATGATGGTTAGAGTGGAAGGATTACCGCGCTGGTTGGAATCGCTCGGCTATCATATCGTAGAGCAATACGGGCAGCACAGCCTCGAGTACATCGATCGGTGGCGAGGCTGCGAGTGGACCGCAATCGTCGCAAATATGTGGCTGGTGAGCAATAGGCAGTGTGCGTTGCTTTGGATGCGAGGGTTTCACTCCCGTGGCGTCAATCACGGGAATGCTAAGCTTGCTCCTAACTTTTTTCCCATGCATAGCTTCGAGGGCTGCGATGGATGGCTCGAATATTTTAGTGAGAGGATCTACTACAAGATTATATTGAAAGAGGGGAAAAATTACACCTCAGTCATTGCTAGGTAAGATTCTGGGTGTGCTGTTGTTCTGCTAGACGAGGTCGTTTGCAGGTTTCATGGAATCCTCAAGTCCGGACCAAAATGCCGGGCACGCAGCATTTTGAATGGCTCCAAATAAAAGTTTTTCGTTCTCTGCCAAGAGAATAAGCACGAGCTGATCAGAACTTCACAGCAAGGTGGGATTTTTTCCTTACATGGTCAAGCGGTTCCATATGGAGTCGAGATATTCATCATTGCTAGGTTAGTTCTTGAGACGAGGTCGCATAACAATATTCCACATCGATGCTTCGGCGAGAAACATAGCTCCTATTTCGCTGATGCCCTTTCTTCCCCAGCGTCTTTGCCGGCTTGATTGTGCTTTCGATCCCGAGCCTGATACCGCTCTCTGCGAATGTGTCTGACTGTTTCCGCATGAGCTGAAAGCCCACTCCTCGACCTCTGCTGCCGCCGCCGATCGTGTTGATGCACATCTCTCGCGTGGTTGATTTCGAACCGACTTTTACACCGAAAAGCGACGGTGCAAGGACAACGAGTAGACTGCGGACCATTGGCAGATTGCCGTTCATGATAGCCAGACAAGGCTCGAGGGTGGACCAGAAGACACATTCCAGCAGCGTATATGTAGGACTGGAGAAGTCGATCTCCTTGATCGCTACGATGCGGAGAATGCTTATGAATGTAAGGCTGCCCTTGTCAGTAACGTTTTGAGGGGGTTTCCAGGGCAGGTTTTGCCTACAAGAATCCGACTGAGAACATGAAAAGTATGCCTCCCTTCACTCTTAAGGGGAGATTAAGAGACATGATGTGTGGGATCGGAAGCGACAAGACCTGGTAGTGTATGAGTAAATGCTAAGTGGCGACAGGCTTTCATGAAAGTCACACTTACCAAGACGTCCGTTATGACATTGAATGTCGACGTCGAGAGCAGCAATGCTGTGCGGTCGGCACATACCCCGCCTGCAATGGTCGCATCCCAATTGAAGGCGAACGGTCGACAGATGAAGTACCCGGACAAGATTATGATTACAGACCATGCAACCACCGTGCCGAGTACCAGTTGTGCCGAGATTCGAAAGTGCTGTACAGATTCAAAGACGCGACAGTAGAAACAGATGACCGAGCATTTTACCAGGGCCATCGTGACAGCATACATCGGCCAATACATAACAGCCAGCTGAAATCTTCGTCAATGTTTTTTTCTCTTTTAAAGTATGCAATATATATATATATATATATATATATATATACCAACAGTGAGGTCGGTTGGAGAACTCACTTGCAGACTCCTGGTGATATCTTGAGGTTTGACATCTATGCTCTGCCTACCTATGTGATGTCAGGAAACAGAACAAAAACGGTGATGGGCTTTCTTATTTACTCACCTATTCCACCAAGTATAACGACTATGCTGGCATTAGCCAAAATCAGATCTCGGATCATCCATCTTCGGCACTTACGACAAAGGAAAAGAGTAATAACAACTACTAAGAAAAGCTTCTGCAGTTAGCATTGCAAGCCCAGATGCAGAGGATTGCCCGGTCCGTACCACTACACGAAAATTAGCATCGATATTCCAAAGCTGATATCACGAAAGATCTTCCGACGCCAAGCGAAGGACTGAAAGATCACGGGGTCCGACGAGACGGTGTACGTAGACATACTGGCTGCGATCATCAAGTAGTCATCCACATCGAATGCCACGCCCCTCACCCTGATGGAGCATATCCGCAAAATGGTCGTTGCCAAAGCGAGGCTCATGAACACCGAGGCCACAATCGCAGGGTCTCGGACCCGCGGAAAGCTCAGATCGTACGTCATGCTATTACCGATACCAAACCGGAAAACGGTCGAGAAAGAAAAATACAGATTAGATTAAAAAAAGGGAAGAGAAGAAAAGAAAACAAAGCATCGATACGGACTCTGAGACCAGGGTGTAGGAGTCCATCTTCTATGATGAATCTTCCCCGGCTCAAGTTTCGCGTAGGAGATGCAAGCTTGCCGAAGAAAAGCTTCATTTGACGATGGTCAAAGCTTGCGGGTTTCATGCGCGGACCTCTCGAACGCGACTCGCGCGACTTGCGAGCCTCATGATCTGTAGACGAACCTCGTCTCTTCCGGGTTCGCTACCGGTTTGGATCAATTGGATACCAATTACCGGTATGCCTACGTTCGGGCTTTGTGTCTTGCTTACCCCCCCACAAATGGATGATGCAGAATGGGCGCTGAGCTGAGCCCTCTCTCTAGTCGTGAAATCGAGAGAGCAATGTTGGACAAACAGGCGAAGACCAGATTTTGAACCATTCAATGAGATCAGAGGTAATCCGCAGGCTGCCAGATGAAGTTGTAGCACTTGTTGGCTAGATGGCCTAGGCTTGCAATATTTGCTGCCCGCTTGAAACGATTGCCTCGCGCTCTGTATACCTCAAGGTTAACCCCTCGCTCGAATTGCCCGATTTGCTTCTTGAGTTACAGTTTTTCTCTCCTTCTTTCTCAAGGCTGAATGAATTCGGCCGAGGTTCGGATGTGTGACATCGATGCGTCGCTTGCGATTCTTTGCGGGGGTGGCCAAAACGTTTCTGGTATACGATGAACGAGATCAAGTTCCGATTCATTTTGGGCCGATCTTTTGTGACTGGGATTCTGGAATGGATGCGAGAAGAGGAAAGAAAGCAGCTGATTGAGTAGTATCATCTGACCGGAAACATCTCGCCTTTTTTTTCTGTTCGCAGATGCATTATTTTGATCTGCAAGATTGGAGGATCTCAAAGGAGGAGGATGGCATGATAGAGATGTTATTGCCAGGAATTTACTCAACAGGGTCCTCTGAGACGCTTTCCTCGAGTTGATGATGCTTGGAGCCTTCGACCATAGGGAAGGGCGTCGCTTCTACACCCATGAGAGTTGTGCAATCAGAGAATCAAGACGCAATAATTTTCGGGGATTGCAAGAGCTACCTTATATTCAATCTCTACATGTCGATTCTATTTCGAGATCGGTTGTTGAGCAGAGACGCTGTTTAGCCTCGGCTGAATAGGTCGTTCAGGAGAAGTGCGCATACACTAAGCTGACTACGGCCGCTAAAATAATCCTGAATTAGTATCCGGAGTAAATGGACTACTTAGTAAGAGAGCCAAGTCTGATCATTCACATTGCCCTTCTAAGCAGTACTTCCTGTGAAGTGAACTATGTATCTTAAGTCAGTGCATCAATTGTCAGGCCGATCGATAATTAACTACTATCAAATAGACAAATGATCCGGCTTCTTTCCCTCTTTATACTTCAAAACAATATGCGCTTGCGTCTTGAAAATTGTTGCAGCAGCAAGCATCGATAGACATATCGGTCACCTAGAGTTGAAAGGCATGACCGTCTTCGGCTATCAAGGATGGTATAAGGTGTAGCTGATAGACAGCGTTTATGGAGCTACGAACGTAGAGCTAGATCTCGGCCCAAGGCCTTTGATAGATAGAAAGATAGATAGAGTCCAGAAGGGCTCAGATTTAATCTCGCTAATATGAATACAACTGGGTCCCTCGTCCTTCGTTTGCATAAACACAGAAACACATCATCTGTATTCAGTAATAAATGCCATAAATGCAGTCCAGCACGTTCAAATCCTATCTGTTAGATATATTCTTCGATAGATATAAGTTCCCTATCCTTCAGCGAGTTCTGTTCTATACTGATTGTGTTTACCCATCCGATGGGAGCACTTTCCCAGGGCCTCTATGATCTCGACGTCTTAGAGTAGACTCTCTCGGAACCTATCCATCGAACGAAAGAACGACCCGGCCGGTCCTAGGTACGAATAGCCTCAACTGTAAACAAGCTAAACCAACACTACTGAGCGACCCTTAATTCACGTGTTCCTGGTAAGAATACTCTTTGTTGCATATCGCGATTTTTGCGCACGTGCAACTAAGAAGACGCGGACCACTCCGTATAGCTGTTATCCACTGAAGAAAAGCTTGGTACCAGCCAGACCTCAAAGAAGTCTAGTGAGGGCATCATAGCGTACGCTAGGCACTGAGGACATTACAGTAATATTTCTTACATCTTCTTCCTCCTCCTCCTCAGATTATACAAGACGGTACACTTGCTCCCCATCTTCTTGGTGTCATTGAATCGCCATCGATCGAGGATACATATCCAAGACTCCAAGATGCATTTTGCCTACGGGAGATCCGATGCAGGGCAGCTGGCGAGGAAAACATTATATGAAATTCTTTCTACGTCGTATGCTTTCTGCGCTGACAACGCTCTGACCCTCTAGCTAGATATATGCAAGCAAGTCTTTGCCCGGCTGCTTCCTCTCCTCCTCCACCACCACCCACCCCCGACCGGTTCTTATCCGCCTCCGCCTCTTCGGGGCGTGAGGACTTCTCCTCCTCAGGACGAAGGGCCGTGGATCCGTGTCCGTCTCTGTCTCCGTCATGGCCGGGCTCCGGGTATTTTTTCAGATGCTCCACCGCCTACCGCACCTTTTCCCATCACCGGCGGCACCCTCCCTTCGCCTGTCAGTAGGGGCAGGCCAGCGATATCGTACAGCTCTGCCAGCCAGCTCAGCGTCTCGCCGTTCACCCACTCGACATCGTGGAACCTCTTGTGCTCTCGGCGCACCCGCTGCTCCCTCTGCCCTCCTATCGCGAGGCGGAGCGCCGGGATTGGTTGGATCTGGATTTATTGTCAACTTACAGCTTCATTACGGGATGAACTGAATGAATGAATGGACGCTCAAGAAAGAAAGAAAGGACTTGATGTAATATTTTTTTTTTTTGGTCACACCTTTTTTTTGATGATCTCTGCTTTTTTTGATTTTTCTTTCATCTTCTTTTGGGAGAGAGGGGAGGATGTGCGCAAGTCTTTTTTCTAGGCAGGTAGGTAGGTGGGTAGCTACAACGGGTGGGTGTGCAGAATGTCATATCAGAAAGAAGGAAGGTAAACAAACGAAGGATCGGTGTATAGACTACGATCTTTCTGGAGAAGGCGAGTACAGTATAGTACAGATAGAATCACTTTCACTTCATGTAGTTTGAACAGAAGTCCAATGATGAGAAGAAGAAAGAGCCACAGGCTCGTTTTTGATAAATTCGTATCGCTGACCAAGTTTCTTGCTCCCTAGACAGAGAGCACCATGGAAAGAATGACGACCAGCTGCAGGCAGCCATCGCAGAAGAAGAAGAAGAAGAAGAAGAAGACAAATATGTACAAAGAATTTTTCGAGCACCCCGTTTTTTTTTCTGGGCTTTGGCTTTGGCTTTTCAGACTAGTCGTAAGAGAAAGAAGAAAATCTCATTGTCTCGAGAGAGCCCCAGGTCCAAGTAAGAAACAAACACCTTCGCATCGCATCGCGTCCCCTCGTCCTCTTGCATTTCGTTCAAGCTGAACTCGTTCTCCGTGAGCTGAGCTAAGCGAGTGAATGAATGAATGAAACGACTGACTCGCTTAGAAAGTGAGGGTAGTACCGGCCTTGCCAACAACAGCAGCCTTGACGGCGGAAGCGGCGATCTTGGTGTAGGAGTACGGCACAGTCTTGAGGGTACCGGCGAGCGCGGTGTTGGCGCCGGAGCCAAAGTTGTTGTCGACGGAGACAGCGTAGCCGGCATCGGTGGAGTAGAGGGGCTTGGAGGAGCCGACGAAGGTGTTGCCCTCGACGAGGACCTGGGCGCCGAGCCGGGTGTTGATGCCGTCGGAGACGTTGTCGAAGTAGGAGTTGAAGATGTGGCCCGTGCCGAAGCGGATGGAGGGCCCGCGGGAGTTGATGTTGCGCCAGTAGTTGTTGTGGTAGGTGACGCGCAGGTGGCCCTTGTCCTCGGCCGAGTTGCTGTCCGAGTGGCCGATCAGGGAGGCCTTCCAGTGGTCGTGGATGTAGCAGTTGGAGATGGTGACGAAGTCGGCGGCGTGGGTGAGGTCGAGGAGGCCGTCGTAGTAGTCCTTGTCGTGGTCCCGGTTGGAGGAGAGGTCGACGTGGTCGAACCAGACGTTGGTCGAGAGCTGCACGGCGAGGGCGTCGCCGTTGGCCGCGAGGACCGAGGAGACGGCGATGTTGCGGACGATGACGTTCGAGACCGACTTGATCATGAGGCCGAATCCGGTGAGCTTGGCGGCGGAGGACTTGCCGATGACAGAGGTGTTTCCTCCGATCTTGACCGCGGCGGCGGCAGTGGTGATGGGGCCGGAGACGAACACGACTTTCTTTGCGTTGCCCTTGACGGCAGCGGTGAACTGCGCGTAGGTGGAAACGGTGGTGGTCGTTCCACCTGCACCTCCAGTGGTCCCGCCGTTCAGCGAAGCGTACTTTATACCCACGTTAGTCTTTGATTTTCAAGTTGCAAATGCTCGGGATGTGAGATGGTCTTGACTCTTGAGGTCCCAGCTGTAGAGATCTCTCTGCAGAGCTTCGATGAACCAAGACGGAGGAAGAGAGAGAGGTGTGATCTGGGACATACTCCGATGGGTTTATCAGAAACGGAAGCACGTTGCTGGATGGTAGGAGTGGGCACAGCCGAGACGAGGGCTGCCATGAGGCCCAGAGAGAGCGCGGAGAACTTCATGTTGAAGTTTGTTTAGGCTTGTAGGAAGGGGTAAAAAGAAGACTGTTGCAAGAATGTATAGACTTGAATGTAGTAATAGAAGAAGAGGATGGATGTACTGGAGAGAAGGGTGGAAAGTACTGGGAAATCTAGATACCTTTATAGAATCTTGAGAGGGAACCACTTCCCATGTTTACCGTTCCCCTTTGCCAACTTGTTGCGTTTTTTAATATATCCTCAACCTGACTTCGTCTGGCCTGCCTGTGCCGTTCTTTCCACGGTCGATCTGTGTGAAGAAACAAGTCATGGTCACTGGCCCGGAAGAGGCTCCTCGGGTCGAGCTTCCAAACAAATTTACGATTTCACGAAATGATAGGTGGATTATTTGACCGGAAGATTTGTCCCTGCTCCTGCACGAGCCCGAAGAATAGATGAGAGAAGCCGGGGTCTGCTGGGTACAAGATGGAAAGCGGGAAGCTCTTGAAGGTGTGACGATGTGCAATGCATCTTCTACCGCGATGATGGGACGTGAATTTACTGGCACCGTACGTGACGGTGTCGTGGTAGCCACCAATCAGACTGGATATTAGGTATATAGATAGTCAATGTTTACTTCTATATGTATCGATGTAGATATAATTATATATTCCTCTCTCTTTGTATGTATGTTTATATACATACTTATACTACACATACATATAAACATATCAACCACCAACTCCTGCATTCCCATTCGACCGCCCGTCCCCTGAAATTCATCCGAAGGTGTCGCTTAAAGTTATCGCCGAGGAACGCCAAGCTCGGAAGTGGCGCAAAAAACGAAACTGTCAGGATGCAGCCGAGTGGAGTGGAATAACAAGCCCCGGAAAGCTTCGCCTTCTTTGCTCTTCGGCTCTGAATTTGACCATTTCGCCGTGTTGGTCGTTTTCCTTGGAGAAAATATATTTTGCGCGACAAATGAAAGGGGGAGAATCGCATTCCGTCCGCCTGGGGAAAACCGAAAACGGCTCAGATATCCGCCCGCCTGGGCATAGGTATATGGGAAACGCGTTCCCTGGAGATGTGGAGATTTGCTGACGCGCAGCAGCGAGAGGACCGGTGTCGGGCCAATCGGAAATGGCTGTGACGAAAATGTTTCGGTATCACATTAATTTTTGATGAGGTGCTACGTGGCTCAAATTCCGAGGTGAAGATCGAGGTGAAGATCGAGGCAATGGGCGGGTAAGTAAGTGGCTTCGCTTATTTGCGCTACAGTAGCGAGCTCCGGGGCTGTATATATCGCTTGTCATTATTTTTTTTAGCCGCATCTTCAATAAGATCTGACCTGATAGCTTAGACAGAAAAGCGAATACTAAAGGTATCGCAACCGTCGTTCCGGCAAGAAGTAGGGCCAGTTCGGTTGGTAGAATTGAAATGTATTGATAATGGTGCCAAGGTGTAACAACATCCTTCAAAGCTTGACCTCTCAGCTCAAATCAACCCTTGTTCTGAAGCATACAGCAGCTAGGTGATCTGATGAGAGATAATGTAGATTATATATCGCGACAATGACAAAATTTCACCGTGTGCTAAACAAGTAAAGCTCTCTCTCTGCCTTTGCGTATATACCAGCCGAGTCTCGACATAGCAGATGGCTGGAGTCTGTCTGGTGGAGGGCCGGCCTACCATAGAAGATGGACGGGGCTTCAAACATATTTAAAGAGTACGATCTGTGAAATGAAAGGATAGTGGATAAGTGAAGAATCAGAGGGAGAAAAGGCAGCATCTGGGCCCGTGTATTGATTTTCGGGCCAACAAGAAAGCCCACTGAGCTCTGTTTACTACCTTGATCGTGCACGATTAAAGGTACAATCTAGGGGTTAAAGGGATAGTCGAAGATAGTGCTTGCTGGCAAAGTACGGAGGTGGTAGAGCCAGTCTCTATGCTTTATACCTCCAGACGGTGGGGGCACACCAAGATCCACTTGAAGTTGCAGTCATTCTCTAACGCTCCACGGCGCCACGAATCGCTTTTCAGTTCTGAAAAAGGGAAGTGCTTCGGGACTTTCTGACTAAGCTAAAAGTTGCTAGGCGAGAATGTCAACAAACCAAGATCACTTGAATTTTTCAATTTTTTGATGACTTGATCAGACAACACCTCTTCTTATTGTTATGTTCTACACACTTTACATAGTTATATCAAGCATCTCCAACATGCTGTGATTCGAGTGGTGCGGCTATCAGTGCCAAGTACTGATGCGTGACTGAGTAGGAAATGTAGTCCGTCTGAATATTCTCCACGTTCAAATTCACAACTCAGTGATCCGGGTACTTTTCTTGCAGTGATTCAGTACTACATGTTACACACCAATCCGCTGCAGTGATGCACATCTCGGGAGCTACAAACTGTGAATCGGGCCTGCTCCAGAAGAATTATAAAAGAACTACGACATCGCAGTAATCTCTCTTTCCATTCTCATCAAACCCTCAAGCTCCTGTTGCAACACCATCCAGAAACCAGAACATACAATACCGACTCGTCATCCATCGTCACCAGCATCTCTCCACCCTCAGACCTACTTCCATAACTCGCTCGCTGCACTCCCCATCCACTTCCCAACGCACCAAAACCTTCCCCCTTCCAGCCCGCCCAAAATGTGCCGCATGGCCTGCCGCGTCTACTCCTGCAACCACATCGACGAGACCCTCACCACCGGCACGGGGCCCGGCTTCCCGCACCCCTACGGCGAGACGTGCCTCCAGCTCTGGAAGCACTGCCACGAGGCGCACATCCGGCTGCGCGGGCTCCCGCGTGGTGGCACCGGTCCGGATGCGGACAAGCCGTACGGGCCGCCGGACCCGAACTACATCTGCTATGCGAACCTGCTGGTCATCGATCCGACGGCGGATGATCAGGCGCTGTACCCGATTGATCTTGTGGGGAAGTGTCCCGATTGTGTGGTGAAGGATAAGGAGGATAGGGGGAATAGGGCGGAGAAGAAGGCGGCGTGGAGGAGGAGGATTGCGATGTGGGTGAAGGAGAGTGCGGATGCTGCTGCTGGGCAGTCTGGAGATGATGATAGAGGAGAGGGGGAGGGGGGAGGGGGAGGGGGAGGGTGAGGGGGGAAGTAGCAGTAAGGCTTGAGAGGCTAGGGAGAGGGAGTGGTTAGGGAGGGAGCTGGCGATTATGCTGTTGTGCTTGGTGTCCGGAGCGGGACTGGGGTTTTTAGAATTGACTGGGTTGGCTACGTTATTGTTTTGCGGAGGCTTTAGCTAGACCAAAAATGAGATTATCATCGTTAAGATTTTCTTCTTCTTCTTTTCAGCTATGCATACCTAGACAAGCATTGGTTTAAAATTCGTTTACTGCACTTCTCACAGCGTGACACGGCCGATTAGCATGTGTATAGAACCAACCAAAGACGTACCCTCTCCTTAATATCATCATCTGGCCTCGGTTAATTGAAGAGGTGAATATCGGAAGGCGCCAAACTCCCAGTGTTGACCCCCAGGCAATGTGCGCCTGGAGGTAGTCACGTTCTGCAGTAAGAAACAGCAACGTCAAAAAAAGAGCCCTTGAAACGCAACAGACCTCTCTCAACTCAGTGAAATCTTCAAAAAAATGCCGCGGTGTTTGTGAAATACAATTAGATGAGTCTATTTCCTTGGAATAATTACCGTCCAAGAAGTCTCAACTCAATAATCAACGTCCATTCATCAAGGCTATTATTCTGGGACTCTATCTATGACTGGACTCTAACCCCAATCACCAAAAGGCCCCGATTCAAATATTTGTACGATCATCAACTCATAAGCTCTTTCTATAAATAAACCCCTAATCTTCCCTTCCACTCTCTAAACAGCACCACGAATCCCACCAACAACAACCCCTAGAAACAAAACAACCACAGCCAACGAGCCTCTAACCACCACTAAACCTCTACCATTCCAGAAATCAGCCTCGCCTCAATCAACTCAAATATATCCTATCGAGCGGCCAGAACGAAGAGAAAGGGCGCCGCCATCATGTGCTACTCCCACAACACAATCTACTCCTGCTGCGGCAACGTCAAGGACTCCATCCTCACGCGGCCCTGCGCGCTGAACTGCGGACGCAGCTGGTGGGTGCCGGAGAGCCACTCTCGGGCAATTGGGATTAAGTGTCCGATGCATTACGCACAGGGAGCACTGAAATTGATGGTGCAGCAGGAGAGGGAGTGGGTGAGGCGACGGAAGATGAGTGAGGTTGGTGAGTGGGCTGAGAATGTGAGTGTCTGTCTTCAGGGATGAGGGGTTTGTGTAGCTGGAGGAGGGAGGAGGGAGGGAGGGCTGAGATGTTAGGTTGAGGTGTTATCAGTACCGTGGGGAGAAGGGGTGTGTGTGTATGGCTTTGAGGTTGGATTTCTTGAGGAAAGGGTAACATGAAAAGCAGGGTAGGTTTTTTGTCGGCGCACTGACTATTTAGTAGAAGTATTGCTTTCTACACTCTCGTCTCATTTCGCACGTAAGAAAGTGATAGGCACTGATTCTTCAGGCGCTGAGCTCCAGAGTATGAAGTTTCAAGGTGATTCATAAGCTATGAAAGATGATAATAGGCCTCGATTATAAAGCCTTCTTGTATCCAGACCTGCGGTCAAGCTCCTGTTTGCTGAAAATCGCCTTGAAACCGGCGCCCGTCTAGTCTTGGCAAATAAACAAAAGAGCGCTTTGACCGAGAGCCGTGACTATTTCACTTGATCGTCAAGTTAAACCTGTGTCTCTGGGCAGTAAAATAGCCCGCAATAACATAATCTCACGGATTGCTTCAATACGGTACCTATAGCATCGGTATCCTCAGATTATTAACCTAGTTATATCTTCTTTGCACGTGATATTATGATCAAGTGTGAATCTCAGCCTCAAGCCGGCTTTATCTATAGCTTTGAAGCGCACACCGTTTTAATGTACGTACGGCTATAGCATTTTTAATTTCTTTAGATTTCTTCAATAGAAGATCAATTTCTGCGCATCATCGCTTATATCAAGTCACGCAGGCGCTTTATCGTTACGGCGAAAAGCATTACTGTTTCCGAGTAATCCAAAAATCCCACCCTTTTTTCTTAAACTCCATTGATCTGCCTAGCCTCAAAACTTGCCGTGCGCCCTCGGTGCGTTGGATTCTATTGTATTGCGTTGCAGGGGCTCTCGCTCTCGCGAGACTGTTGAAATTCCGATTCTTCTAATATACGCACTTAGATTTCCTTTCGATATTTCCATGGAAATGCTCGAGTTAAATTTTTCTCTCTTCTCTTGTGCAAGTGATCAACCAGTTCGTTCGTTCGTTCGTTCGTTCGCTTACCACGTATAGATATGAGCCCCATTTTCTCCACCTACAAGCATTAGATGATTGATACCTCCCTCGCTCATCACACCTTTCGAGCAGACCCGAGAAGTTTTATTATCTGATTTGATTACAATGCGGTGCTTGTTGGAGATGAGAGTGAGTTTCGCGCGCGCTTGCTTGCTTGCCAGGCATTTCATGGCAAAATACCCAAAGCCCGCGGCTGATATTTTTCAGTTGCCATTGGGAGGTTAGGCCGTGAGTAGCCGGCCGACGATACTTGATTGCAGATCATACCATATGCATGTCCGGGAATCTTTTCTTTCTCTTTTCGTTCTTTCTTTCAAGTCCACATTTATAGCTAGATTGTTTCTGATTACTGCCAGTTAGTCGCTGGATGATTCGCTGATCGCTTTTTTCTCTGGTTCGTATTGATCGAAAGACCCCTGAATGCCCGTTTCTTTGTACAGGGTATCTATATCTGGATATCTGTATATCTGTATGCATATATGTGTATATATGATTACTGAATCGCGTTGGCCTACATATCGTAACATGAGATATCTGTGTTGGGAGGCTGTCTTATTTTGATATATTATATATACACTGTTAAGCAATGTCTGGGCTAAACGGAAGAAACGCTTGGTAACGGAAATTGCGAGGGCCAGGGTCCCAGAAGTTGCGACGTCAAGTCCCACTATTAGGTAGGTACCGGTGCCAACAATTCTCTAATTCTTGATACAAGCTCGAAATGCCTAGTCTCCGAATGGAAAAATGGAGGTCGTGGAAGACGTCTTTTTCAACTGATATTTTGTTTCGCAGCTTCTCCAATGTGCGCTGGAAATCCTGCACGGATTTATAAGCGTCGACGAAGCATTCGGCGCGGATCCAGCAGCCAATTTAACAGCCCTTCCCCCATCCCCCGCTCTCCGCCCAGATGCCGATATTACTTACATGCCGGAGAGGCCCGACTCCACTTGATTGGACTGGACTGAACTTGGCCCATCGGACATTATTTCGCTCTGGGTTCCAGTCCCGACATGTATGAACAAGTTGGTTAGGTAGGTAGATATACCGGTAAGGGTATAAGCTCGCCGCCGACTTGGCTTTTGTTCAAGCATGCGCAAGACGTAGCGAACATCAGACCCATATTTACTTTCTTGGCTATACACCTCACCTCGCCTATTACACCTTATGTAGACTCCACACCTCAACTCACCTCACCTCACCTCAACTCACCTGCAATCTGCAACCTGCATCTCTCTCCTTCGGGCGTGTCCTCTACTTCGGGACACCATCCGGATCAACCGACGGCAGATGGCACTCGTTGGCTAGCTAGGCCCTCCATGCCGCATGCTGCATTGCACCCCCTTTCCTTCGAGAAGCCTCTTAACCTCTTTTGAAATGCTTTCCCCTTCTCCCACAGTGCCGATGATCAACTTCAGATGCGACTCTAACAAACTTAATAGAATGCCGCCTGATATGGTTTGAATTTGATGCCGTGCCAGAAAGGCCATCAGGGACGCAGATCACGCGCCAGCCAATATTCGCTTGCTGGTTAACTTGTTGTCGACGGGCTTCTGGGTTGCTGCCAGTCCCCCGGCCGTAATGCAGGTCGGAAGTTTAACTCCCCTTGGGGCCTTGGGGGAAAAGGACTAATAGGGATTCCGGGCCATGCCCACCCTCGCCCCTTCTCGTCAATGCGGAAGGAAGTTAAAACGATGAGGCTTCGGCCCCTTCAAAAAACCCCCCATGGCCCCCTTGAGATAGGAAGCACGGCTCTTACTCGTTTCAACAAATCAAAGACTTGGTTGGCACCAGCGACCAACACCTGTTGGCATAAGCTCAACATTCATCATCCATCAACCGGCCTTTTGCAAACTGCTTCATCTATCTTTTTCTCCCTCCCGTACTGCCTGGCTGCCATGACTGGTCCAACAGCAAGCAAGCATGATCATCACCAGCAGCAGCAGCAGCAGCAGCAGAATCATCTTTGTTCTATTCGTCTGACCTCTCCTTACCTGCACGCAATACTTCGCTTCTCTACAGCAGCTTATTCTTCCTCACAGCAGAGGAACAGACAATGGGTCCATGTCATTTACACAATCAATAAAGATGACCCATGAGATTAAGTCAGAAGATGAGGATACCGCTCTCTGGCAGGAGTACAGCATCCACCCTCCCCCGATACATCTTCCAGCATACGATGCAAACTACTGCGCTCCGCCGGTATTGCCAATATCATGTCACGGTCCGGCCCAGAAGGAGACATATCGATCCTTAGACTTACCCTCCAACGATAGGCATATACCGCCGAGAGACGGAAGTGGAATACTCACTGCTTCACCACCATCTTTTTGTACGCATCACAGCTACCCATCGCTGAAAAGATCCTACCACGACATCGAGGATTCGCCCTACAGCATCGTGCAGAGCTTTAGAGATGACCCGCAGGAGGCTCACAATCCCAGCATCAACCATGATCACAGACTTCTCTCCTTTGGACAACTACCGGAGACAAGCACGATTCTTGATGCTCAAGGACGAGTACAGTCTGTTGATCTCGTGGCGCAAATCCATGGCATGTTCTTCTTGTCCGAGCTAGCCACAACATCCGGAGAAAGTCTCATGATGCAACCAGAACTAACCTGCTATCGACGAAACCTTTTCCAGATCTTTGGAAGTGTCACTGTACCGCGAGGCGCTCTATCGGCATTGACGGGAAATGGGGAGCGGGTACCCATTGTCTCAAAGGAAGTCGTCATCTCAGCAACAGAGTCAGTGGACGGCCACGTCGTCAAACTAATCGTCATCCCGTGGAAAACGCCTCCTCCCAACTTCCCAAAAATGACTGCAGGACAGGAACACGAGCCGGTACCCATTTCGTTGACGCCATTTGACGAAGGGCCAGAGGCGCATAGTGATTACACGGTCTTTCCGATTGCTTACCGGCGGCTGCAATTCCGCATTGCAACGGCCAACAATGGAAGAAGGAGAGAGCTGCAGCAACACTTCAGTTTGCACCTCAACGTGGTCGGCACACTGTCGAACGGAAGGAAGATGAGCCTTTGCGAGGCGTCCACAGCGCCTATTGTGGTACGGGGTCGGAGCCCGAGGAACTTTCAGGCCAGGAAGGAGATTCCACTCGTTGGGTCATCTTCAGCTCGAGGACAGCCGCCTGAAATGTATGTAGCCGCTCCAGGCGGCCTCAAGCCCAGTATCTCGGGGATAGACAGCAACTTGAAACTAGCAAAGCCACTAAAATCACACATGGCGGAATTTTCACGATCCCCATTCACATTCAATTCGAATAGCATTCCCGGCTCTCCATCTATGGTCCGTCAACCGTAAGTCACCGCTCGATATATCTCACGTCAATACCCAGACCGGCGGTCACAATGCTTGAGAAGATCCCGTGTCACCCTTGGCGAAAAGTCTGTTTTGCTCCCGGTAGTGGCTTGAAGAACGGCACCTGAGACAAGCTGATGGGTCCTTTCGTAAATAGTACATACCAAGCCTGGAGCGCCGCACATACAAGTACGCCTGCCGACCATACCTCGGCGCTAAACACACTTGGCTATGCCAGCGCTCCGAGAGACAGCTATCTGCAAGCGAATCACCACACCCTCAACTCGATATCAGAGCTGCAGTCCCACAAACCTCCGCTGGCGTCCCAGCCGCTAATGAGACAGCCATACTCCTCCTATCACCCCCCCTCGACAGGCGTCGAGCCCCTTCGCTTCGTCCACAACGATTCGGACCTGCGACGACCGACAAAGTCACCACGACATACTGGACCGGCGGATCTCCACTCTTCGAGCGGGATTCTGATCCCAAGCAGTAGCAGCTACGCGAATCACGGCTCTCGGTTCCTGCCTGCTTATAGCAGTAGTAGCTACGGATCTATGCCAGCGACGATGGCCCCGGAGCAATTTCCTTCATTGTTGCCGATGCAGCAGCAGCCGTCTGGGACGAGCGGTGGGCCCGGGACAGAGACGGGGACGATTGGTGGAACGGGTTCGCCGAGCCAGATTCAAGGCAGGGGAGCTCAGCAGCAGCACCACGAGATTCCAGGTGAGCAGCAGCAAGCGGTATGGGAGGGGAAACGATGGAGCTGTGGCTGAGAGTGGGAGTAGGAGTGGAGGCGGAGGAAGTTGATGGCATGCGACGCAAAATATAGAATATCTCTTTTGTATCGGAGGTGAGATGAGGCTATGGAATGGAGTGAAAGAGAATGATGATACTCAGGATTCATATTTAGCAAAAGCGCGTTTACGAAGCAACGAGCTTCTCTCTCCTAGCTACTGGCTATCTAGCAAAGATTAAAAGAGCCTCGAACATGAAATGGAAAGCAGCAGGAGGATTGTATTGTATAGGAAAAAAGAGAAGAAAAAGGAAGAAGGAAGAAGGTTAAGCAAAAGTGCCTAAATAAAACCAAGATTCCCAGATTCAAATCATATTCAAAACAGAGATATGACCGCCCCAAAACCCAACTTCGAGGAATGGGAAATCTTCAAGAGTGCTATTGCGATAGATAGATGATAGGTGGAGCCGGCGGGAACTTTGGCTGCACGAGCGGGCGGTTTTGCACGGGTTTGATTGGATTGTTAGGGCGTTGAGGATCGGCGATGCTGTACAGGAGGACAGGGGCGGGCGCAGGGGTTTGTTATGGAATTGTGGATTTGCGAAAAGGGGCCGAAGTTGCGAATTGGGCAGTTCGGTAGGTATTTATCGTATATCCGATGTTTGAGCTGGAGCCGAAGCCCCTTTTGTTTCAATATGCTCGCTTACGGTGGAAGGTGTTTACATAAAAGTACCTACCGAAGTCTCGGCGTCGGGTCGGGCTCGGCAGATCTCGGCCCGTCGGACCGGGCCATTCGTTATTGGCCAAGGTATTTTTCCCACCTCAGCCTTTCGAGCCTCACTGGCACTCACCAACCACACAATCCCCTCCACGCAATGATGTTTGAGCTCCCGGACGCCAAAAGGTATGTATATCCGGTGGGATAATGGGTAGTTCAACCGATAGAAAGAAAGGGTGTGTGTGCTGACCAACCGCGCCAGAATCCGCCGCAGCGACTTTAATCGCTCCCGCTCCTCCTCCCCCGCCTCCTCCTCCTCAGACATCGATCCCTCGACCGAAGCGCGCCTCCACGCCCGCCTCGCCGCTCTCTACGGACCTGTGCCACTCTCCGTGCCGCTCCATACACCATCTACTGCCAGAAAGAGCACCCTCGCGGACTCAAAGCCCACGCGCAAACCCCGCGCCGCCCCGAGGCGTAAAGCGTCCCCAACCTCAGACTCGGACAGCGCCTCCAACACTGATCCCGATTCCGATTCTGAACCAGCCACGCCAGCATCAGCACACGATGATGGCGCGTCCGAGGTGCGGGAGTACGAATTTGCGCTGTTTGCCGGTGGCGACGCTGTGCATCGCAACACCGTGATCCTGAGCCCGTCCGACGACGCTACGGGGCCTGGCCGGATCCTGCGTCCTCGACCGCGCGAGTATTTCTTTGCGCCGCCTGCAGAAGGGGCGGTGAAGGCGCGGATCTGCTACTCTGCCGTGAGCGGGGAGGAGGTGCGCGCGCGGAGTCGGGGGCGGGCGTGGGGGCTGGAGGTGCCATGGAGGGTGCGGGTTCTAAAGCTGGCTTCCGGACCGCCAGTGAAGACTGGCTTGAAATCTTATGCGACGGGCGGGGGTTCTCACCTTGAGAAGCCGAGTGGGGGAGGAGGCGGAGCTTGCTTGGATGGCACAGGTGTTGGAGGAGGAAGGGATTCTTTGAGGGGGAGTCGGACGAAACCGAATAAGAGACGGCGGATTTTCCTGAGAGAGGAGAGGCGGAGACGGGATGCTGCTGAGGAGGCGCGGAGGGAGGTCTTGGAGAGGAAGGTGGAGGCGGAGAAGGAAAAGAGGGTGAGGCTGAATCGCGCCAAGAAGGTTAAGAGGCGGTTGAAGGAGAAGGCGAAGAAAGCTGAAAGGAAGGCTGGGTCTGGGGATGGGGAAGGGGAAGGGGAAGCGGGTGTTGTGAGCATAGCTGATGCGAGTGTCGAGGAGAAAGCGCTTGACTGAAAGAGAGGTCGAGGTGCTTCGGAGATGGCAAAAAAAGGGATGGAAGAGCCGGATCTCTGCTGTAGATAGCCACTGGGAATTGGAGTGTTAGTAGTTTCACGGTGTGATATGCTATGTTTCCTGCTTGTTTTGTATGGAGCGTGTGTTGAGAAGTGGTTGGATATAGATTGTGACTGTGATTGTGATTGTGGTTGGGATTGGGATTGGGAATATCTCTGATCCTCGGACGAATTGCACCCAGAGTTGATCGCGCAAAAGAGGACCAGAGAGGTAAGCTAACGCATGGGCGGCTGTTTTTAGTATCTCCTGCTGATTCCCAGGACTAGATGCTCGCGGCTATGTATAATAGAAATGTACCAGCTTTAATAGCTCTGCTAAAGTTGTCATCCTAAATTTCCATCATGGTAGCGTCGCCTGATGACCCACTCTATTTCTCGCTTAAGCATACACGCTAGCTGAGTAGAGCCCTTTTCTTTGTCGCGACTGCCGCCTCTAGTAGAAGCAAGAAAGTCCACCTCGACAGTATCCAAGCACTTCGAGGCAGACGATGGAAGCTATCATGGAGAAGCTCACCCCAATGTCCTGGATGTTGGCCAAGGCGCGTACAACCGCGCGCACCCACCCTGCAGCTTCGGCCGGTGAAGCCGTCAGCGAGTTCCAGCTGTGGCTGGCAGTCGAGGACAACCACATTCGGGTCGCGAAGGAGCGTCCAGGCGCGCCGCGGCACATCCAGCAATACCTGGCAGAGCGTCGTACCTTTGGGGATTTCTGTAAGTTACCGTGTCAGTGACTGGGCTTGGGCACTTTGGACTCGACTTGCTCATAGTTTGTCTCTATCTGTATTTGTAACTCGCATTCGAAACTGATAGTTCATATTCGCATAGGGGGGCCCGAAAACGTTCATCTGTTCCCAGGGCCACCTCCCGACCATTCTTCATCGGCCTCGAATCCGCGCAAAGCCTCTGCCCTCCTTCAGAAGAGCCCTGTGCGTACAAGATCCGTCTATACGCAGAGAGAAGACGCCTACAGAGGACGCTCTCGGTCTCCTAATCACTTCCGATCTGCTGATCGCTCCCGATCTCCTGGTCCCTCCCGATCTCGTGCTCGTGAACAAAGCAGACGCAGAGATTTCAAGTCGCCCCCGACGGTTTCCAGAGCTTTGACTCGTGGTACAAGCCGCTATATTCCCTTCCGCGACCGCATCGATAGTTCTGGTACTTCTTGGAGGATGCGAGCCGAAGCCATGAGTGTCGGCCCACAGACCACGGCTCAAGCCGCTCGGTCCGGTGGTATATCCACCCACGTCCCCGCGCTTCAGAGCACGTCGCCGCCAACACCGCACCACGACCCGAGAACCGGCAAAATCTACCCTGTTCTGAAGTTTTCGCACCCTCAAGCATACACTAGACTCTCTGGACCTCAGGGCCAGGCCATCGCCGAGATGAGCAGATACTTCCATGCCTTGGTCATTCGTCTCGAAAAGCCGACATTGCAATCTGGTCTGGGCATTCCCAGCAGCGCCGTCCTGTGGCTCCGAGTCAAAATCAGCGCCAATCCGAAAGATGATGGGGTTCAGCGACAGATTGATGGCTGCCAGCGGGGTTTCGAGGCATACCACAAACTCGACCAAGAGGGGAAGGAGCTACCCGGTATCCTCGACTTTTACACGGCCAACCGCCACATATTCCATCACAAAGGATCTCTTCGGCGTGCGGATACCATTAAGGACATGACACTTCGGAACAAGGCACTTTCGAGGCCTACATAGGTAGATGGGTAGTCAGGGCGGATGTTTGAGGCGCGCGAGTAATCAGGAAATGTGGAGGATGTACGGGAATTGCGTGTAATATTAGTGAATTAGGTGTAATATCTTAGAATTCAATGTAATATTAGAGAATTGACTGTGTATATTTCAGGCGTCATTTCTTGCATTGCCGCCCAGTAGATATCCCAAGCATCCTTAGCGCGACTTCCCTATTGAGCGCTTGGCGCGGTACAGAATGTCGACCATCTATCGATCCTTTGCCGCAACATCAAAGCCTCTATGAATCTAGAGCACGCTTTTCTCGGAACATAGTCAAGAATACATATTCGTACACCAGATGTCTACAAGGCCGCCTATCCAGCCAACTATACAGACATTAAAACGTTTCCCAGCATCAGAAGATATATCGGAAGATATAAACCTGGAACAATGCCAAGTATAACACTCCAGTCCCATCGCCTCGCAGGCTGACTCTCCCCACTCAGATCCAACAGCTCAAAGTCTTCTGCGAGGACCTCCTCCTCCTCCATCCCTACCACGATATTGGTATACATCCTCGACCTCTCCCCCGCCAAACCACTTCCCCTCGCTCATATCCATACCCCTATGTCTCTCACCTCGCCCACCGTCTGGTCCCCTATCAACACCCCTCAAACCAGCACCCACGTCCCCACCTCCCCAAACCCTACCCCCTCTTCCTCGAGCACGACCCTCCTCATCCCGAGCCTCAACATCCCCGGCTCCGTACCGATCTGTGACCAACCTCCTCTCCCCACGCTCAAAGCCCTCCGCGCCCCTCTCGACATATCGGCGGTTGCCATCGGCGCGGCCTCGATCCTCCCATCTTCCACCCTGGTACGGACCAGCGTCTCGCTCCTCGAGATCCTGGCCCCGTAGACGCTTCCGAGCTCGCTCTTCCATCGCCTGTCGCTTCTTTAGCCCGGCCCGGTTTCTAGAATTACGCTCAGCGACTGCGCGGCCAGGGAAGTCGATCTGGAGCCTGCGCGCTGCATTGATGAGGTCCTCTCCTGCAGTCCCCTGGGTGGGTCCAGGTCCTCTGTCTTCTTTCTCGCGAACAACAGTAGCGCCGTCGACAGTAGCAGCGTCAGTGTGCGCATCCGCCTTCGTACGCTGGTCGTCACGCCCGTGCTCCTCTCTCCTATCCTCACGCGCATACCGGGCCCGATCGTCCATTCTAGGACTCAAGCTTCTCTCGTCTCTGTTTTCGTTTCCTTCTGCATTGCGTCGACGCTCTCCCAACGGTGGCTGCTTGGCAATGAACTTCTGGTTTCGCCGCTCGGCTCGCTGGCGGATGATGCGTGCCAGGTAGCCTTCCTTCTGGTAGCCGTCGTTATTGTTGCTATCGCGGATGTCGGATCGGCCTCTGGCGGCGTCGCTCTTTTGCTGCTGATCGCCGCCGGCGTGGATAATCGCGGATCTATCTCCGGGTGCGGCGGTGTTCTGGTCCTTGTCGTTGGCGAAGTCGCGAGCATCATCTCTGGCCTCGCTCGTGTGCTGCTTGTGATCATCCTGGCGGCCATCGGATCTGTCTCTTCCCTCGCTGTATCGATATGCGCCCTTGTCGTCACGGCTGTCGGATCGGCCTTGAGCCTCATCATCTTCGCACTCGCCATCTTCGTACTCTTCTCTGAACTCGGGCCGGTACTCGTGACTGTATCTGCGGTCCTGGGATTGGGATGATGAATAGGGTTGTTGCGACTGGGAATTCGACGAGTGGCTGTAGCGGGCAAGCGGATCGTCATGGTGCTCTTGCTCTTTCTCCTGCTCCTGCAGCGCGGGATCGATGCCTGGGAAAGGTTCTTCCACGCCGACTATTTGCGAAAGCATGGGTTAGCACCTCTTCTTGCTCTCTTTCTCTTATAGTATTGCCAAAGCCCAGTCTTCTTCTCTCAGGTAGGGAACATGCATGACCTCAGGGATATGATATACAGCAGTCAAGGAGAGGGAGAAGGATGCGAAAACGAAGATAGAATCTCATCCTCCAAACCCTCTTCCGTCCTGCATCCGATCCCGCCATATGCGCACACATACAAACACAAACACACGCAGACACAACAAACACCCCCATGCCCATCCCATAACCGCAAACAGACAAGAGGAGGGCGAGGGGGGAGAAAGACAAGAAGAATAAGAACCAAGAACAAGCACAATAGAAGAAAAGAAACACCCTCTTTCTCGCACTCATCACTCACAGTAATAAGCCCAAATATTCCACTCCGCCCGATAGCGCCGAACCTCCTGCGTGCCACCGCCGACCCCAGACTCCGCCTGCAGGAACGCCCCGCAGATAATGTCGAATTCGGCGCGGGAGCCGCACGGGTGGCGGGCAGCAGCTGCTGAGGACGAGAGGCGCGCCCAGATCGTTTCGAGCTGGGGGGTGTAGGTTTGGGTGTTCATGTTGGTGTTGGTAAGGGCCATTGTTGAGATGAGATCGGGGTGGGGGGAAGGGGGAGGGAGGGAGAGCAAGGAAGGGAAGGGGGTAGGTCGGGGGAGATTTGGTTGTTGGTGCTGTGTGTAGTATGGTGTGTGCTGTGCTGTGTGGTGCTGTGTGGTGTTGTGTTTGGAAATTGTGTCTTCGGGATGAAGACGAGGCGGGATGCAAAGGAATTGGTATGGAGAAGAGAAGAGAGGGGTTGTATCTGTATCTGTATCTGTATCTGATACCGAAAGGGTTGAGATTTCGAGGTCGAGAGTGTGTGTGATTTGTAGCAGGTAGGAGGTGGTAGGTAGGTGGTACGTCGACGAGCGGAATTCACTTTACTTCGAGGTCAATATTGATATTGATATTGATATTGACGTCGGCGTCGCGTGCGTCTCGTGACTTGTAAGGAACGGTAAGGTCGATGTCGCGACGCGCGAAGCGAGATGGAAAAAGTTTTTTGTTGACGTCGGCGCTAACTAAGTAAAGTAAACAAAGCCCATTCGGGAAAGCCGCGCGCGCTCACCTTTCTTTTCCTTTGTATACACCGCCTTCAATCGCAAACTCCCCAGGCTGATATCGAAATTTTTCATTTCATTTCATTCATCTATTCAGTCATTCGTATCTCTCGTAAATTCATATACACATTTCATCTCATCTTCGCACATCTCGTTTTATCCTGCCTCTACCTTCACCTTCTCACTCATACCTCCTCCACTCCTCCTCCAACCTCCGCAGCTCCCTCTCCACACCCGCCCCTCCCACCCCCCGTCTCATGTTCTCCGCATCCCTCTTCCACGCCCTCTCCAACGACTTCCTCTCGCGCGCCTTGGAAGCCAACATCTGATAGTCCCCACTGTCGACCGCCAGCCGGAAGATCCCCCGCATCTTCGCGCTGTAGAGCTGGCAGCTCGCCTTCGGCACCCGCTGCAGCGTCTTGTTGAACATCAGCGGGATGGCCTTGCCCTCCTCCAGCTCCGGCCACACAACCTCATCAAAGCATTCCTCGCAGACGGTAAACTCAGGAAGGTGCGTGATCACGTGCCAGCGCCGGTCTACGAGGTCTCTCTCTCGCTGGCACTCTTCAAAGAGAGCGAGGCGGCGAGCCAGAGATACGAGGTCCCGGGTATCGGGGGGATCGTGGTAGTCCGAGACGCGGTCGGCGCAGTTTTCGAGGGCATCAAAGTACTGCACAAAGCGCTTGCTGTCGAAGCGGAGATCACAGACGCGGGTTGAGGGCGTGGTATCAGTACAGACGAAGACGCCACGGATGGCTGGGAGGAGAGTCTCGACGCTCTTCACGCAGCTGTAGCAGACATCAAAGCCACGGACTGGGGCCCCAGTCTTGTGGTCGATGACCGAGTACCATTGACGTACTGCTCCATGCTTGCCAAGGCAAGGGGGGTATTTGGTGCTGTTGCGTGCCAGACCATAGAAGAGATTTAGATCTCGGCGGCGCTCTTTGATGGTCAGGAGCCATGCGATACGGTACCACGGGGAGCTGCCAAAATCGCAAAGCACTTCTACGTCGGGTGAGCGGCGAGGGGCCGGGATGAAGAGATATCGGAATCCGGTGGAGGCTGTGATCGAGTTGAAGCATGATGGGCAGATATCGAAGCCTGGACATTCGGGTAGAGTAAGCCAATCGTTTCGGCCACGGGTAAACTGTGTTCGGGGACATGTAGGCAGAGGGGCAACGCTCCCAGTCTCAATGTCTTGCGAGTATCGCCGATAGGAGCCAGTTGGTCTCTCCAAATCCGAAGGTGGTTGAAAGGATGGAGGTTGCCAGGGTCCGGGCCGTGGAGATTCCTGGAATTGCGGTGTCGCCGGTGATCTTCTAGTCTCGCCTGGCGAGTGCATGTCAATTCTGGACGGGATAAGAATTGGCAGTGAGGCACCATGAGCAGCTGCAGGATCTTTCGCAACCGGTGCTACAGTCGACTGCCTCGATTTCGGACGCGCAGCTTCCATAGGGTTCAACCTATCCGCTCTTGGTGTCTCTTCCGAATGCGGTGAGATTGACCTCTCGCGTGGCTTCGTTCGCCCATATTGTGGGTAAATTTCAGCTCTCTCCACATGGTCTCCTCGTGGGACCTGACTCGGCGAATATCGGGGTGATGGCAGCGGCGAAGATCTTCTAGATCCTCTCCGATCCATAGACGACCTGTTGGATTTAGACGGCGATCTCAGATGCTGCTCCTCTCTCCCTGGTCCCAGGTGTGATCGACGGTGCCTCTCAGCGTCGCTACCTGCCATATCGTCTTCACTGCTGCTGTAGTACGATTTCCTCTGCGTGGAAGACCTGGAAGATCGATTGGAACCTCGTTCGGGGGAGTGCCGTCTTTCTCTCCGACTACCAGTCTCCTCCTGGAGCTGTTGCGGTCTAGTTGATCTCTCGAAATTTCCACTGTTTCTCATATCCAAGTTTGGTGTCCCTGGCAGGGACCCAGCATAGCTTCCACTATTTCTCTTCTCCGTTGGATTCCCGTTCTTCCCCCAAAGCAGGTCAAAGACTTGCTGTCTAGGGGTTGACTGCGAGAAATCGTCTTTGGTAGGTCTGATAGCTTCCGGTGAGAGGAAGTAGTCAGATGGGGTGCGAGGAGTAGAGGCAGCTTTAGGCGCCTCCTGTTGACTTGGACTGATTGCGAGGGCAGAAGCACTTCTTCGGAATTTTGGCGGAATCTCGCGTGGCACTTTTGTCTCTAAAGTCGGGAGCTCTTGTCTGCTTCGCCTCTTCTCAAGTGGTGGACGTGGTTGATCTGTCTCCACTTCTCTCCTCGTAGAATCCTCTCGGGTCGGCTCTTCCCTTTTGAATGAGCTTTGCCTGGGTGATTTCTCTGGCCTTTGGTCGCTCCGACGCGGCTCCTCGGTTCTGTCCTCCTTTCTAGACTCCTGACGATCAGTCTCTCTCCTCTCTTCTTTCCTCGGTTCGTGTCTGGCGGTTTCTCTCCCTGGTTCGTCCCGTCTGTATTCGTGCCGAGGATGGTTCGTCTCGGGTCTCACAGGCTGCGGAAAGTATTTTCCCGAATCGTACTTCGAAGGCTCTTCTCTCTTCGACTCGCTCCTCGCCTGAGGTCCGTGAGCATACTCCCCTCTGCTCGCTTCTCGTCTGATATCCGACTTGGACGGCTCCTCTGGTATACCATCCCTAGCATCGCGAGCCATCCGTCTCCTGCTCTCCTCCGCCTCACTCCCACTACCCTCCGTCTGGGGAACAAACACAAACCTCCTCTCCGGATTGGCGTTCTCGTCTCTCTTCCTGCTCGCAGTCCCAGTCCCACCCTCCGTCTCCCCCCTCTCATTCGAGCATTCCACGTTCTGCAGGCGATCCCTCTCCTCCCTCTCAACATCTGCCTCAAGTATGACCGGGGTCTGATCCACCGTCCCCCTCGCCGGCACCCCATAATCCGGCCAGCGCACGCTCCCCCTCTCCTCCCTTGCCAGGCTGACGCATTCGTCTTCCACCGTCGGGCGAGGAGGCGGCGGGCCGCGGTGGAGCGGCCGAGGCGTCCGGCTGCAGCTTCTCTCCCTATCCCTATCCCTATCTCCTCTGCTGCCCGCTCCTCTGCTCCCATCTCTGCTTTGCGCGCGGTAAGCCGAGCCCGGATTCGGGGAGAGGAGCGAGGCTTGCGGAGAGGAGGGGGAGGTGCGGCTGCTAGCTAGGCGTCAGTCCGGCACTACCTAGGTACTCTGCCTGTACGATCCCTCGACGGCGCGCAAAAGCAGAAAGGGGGACAAGCAAAAAAAAAAAAACGCACCCATCATCCGGTCCAGGACTCCTACTCCTCGCCGCCTTGGTCTTGAAATACCCATTTGCGAGCAGCTCGTTGATGCGCAATCCCTCCATCGTCACTCACAGTCACAGTCAACCCAGGACAGCAGCAGCCATGGAACGTCTGTCTCCTCTTCCCGTCTCGAAATCCAAAATCCCTCCCCAAAAAAAGATATATCGGATTTTAAAAACTGCTCGAGATGATAAGACCAGGGTTGTGGTAATGGGAATCAGTGGTGGAAATCCATCGTATATCTTCACGGTTTCGAGGAGATTAGATTTACGAAAAAGAAAAGAAAAGAAAAGAAAAATACTCCGTAAGCCAAGGAGCGCGCGGCTGTCTCTTCTCTCGTATCTGCAGACTGCGGGCGTAGGTGTAGGTGTGTATGTAGGTATGTACCTCGCCACTCAATCTGCCCGTCTGCCTGTCTGCCTGTCTGTCTGCCTACCCCATTTTGCATATTCCTTTTTCCAGTCTCATTACGTCATACTACGTATATAAGTAGAGAGGAGTGTATGGAACAGAAAGAGAAATCTCATAACTGGAAGACAGCGTTGGTCTTGATGGACTACTCCGTATGACTTTTATTTTTTGCTCTGTCTTATTTAATGTGCCATGCCTGCTTGTTCAACCTCGAACGCTGCCTACCTAGGTACCGTGTTCCTGGTTCACGTTAATCGTCGGCTCGCTTAGGTGGGCCTCCTTACATCCTTTCAGACTCCGACGATTAAATAACGTCCCAAACGTCGAAAGTCGCTCTAAAAAGTTAAAAGATT